GAACGTTCTAATTTCAATTTTTCAATTCTTTTTGAACGCGTATTACAGCAATATGGAGAGCACAGGAATGTATCTATACTTGCTGTAGATTCCCCAAACATTTAGCTTTCATGTGCATATATTGGATTCATTCTATCTATTATAGTTTTCGAGGAAATTAATGTTTATCATTCCAGATTCGGTTTTGGCTCGTCTAAAAATTTCGGTTCAGTTTCGGTTCGGTTTCGATTCAGTTTCGGTTGAAATTAAAATCGAAAAAAAGCAATTTACTATTGTATTCAATTATAAAATTGAAAATACAAAAGAAATAAAAAATAATTAGTGACTAGTTAAATACATTTACTTTGTAATGACTGAAAACATGTTTACAGTAATATCCTTTTTAATCACTTTCATTTGAATTTGTTCTAATGTTAGTTGCACAAGACTTGTGCTTGCCCTTCTTCAAATTTTCTATTTTTAGTCTGTGGTTGTTTGGTGGTAGTTGAGGCTTTATTTGTATTGATGATTAAGCCTTCCCACAGAATTCAGCCTAGATAGTTTTGTTTATTATCTATTTGTTCTGACATATTCGTCTAGAATTGACATTAAATATTTATATCGGGGCGGAAAATTGCGGTCGATTTGACCTTTGGCCCAAATAATGCATGTAAATAAAAGTTTAAAACGTTACTACAAGTAACTGGACTAATGAAAAGTGAATGAAGTAAACAAATTTTGATATAGTCAACAAAGCGAAAAAGTTGCATATAAATCGCAATTATGAATGACTTTTTTGATCATCGTAAATCAAATTAAGTGACCCCAAAGATCAGAATGACGCAAATTGTGTACGTTTCTCTATAAATATTATTTTAGATAATCTAGTTACCTTGTCAGATTGTTGTTTATTTTTTTTAACTATTATATAATACAACAATTTTAAATTATTAACATAAACCTAATGAAACAAATTATTGTTTAATTATAAACATATTTCGTAGATTTACTTGTATTAATAGAAACTCAATTAGATTTACAATAAATGGCTAAAAGAACATAAATACATTGTTATATAAAAAGAGGAATTTCAATGACTCAAGATTTAATGAGAACTAAAACAATGAGTTGACTTAAACGTTTTAGTATTTGACAACATTCATACATAACAACAATACGTATGTTTTTTTTCTTAAAAGTGTTTTATTCCAATTGTGAAAAAAAACTCCTTTGCTTAATGGAATAATTTTATGGCACGGAAAAACCATTGGACGCTCATCACAATAGAATGTCTACAAAATTAACCGTTAAAAACACATGATCAACAGTTTTATTCACAGATTGACTATGATTTATACCAAATATAATAAAACGTGCTAAAACAGTATTGTTTAATTACAAGAACCGTTATTAATTGGTAAAAAAAAGAAGTAACCTTGCGTTTAAAAGTAATTACCTGAGAGTATTGTTTCACGACATATTTTAAATGTTTTAATGAATGATAGAGGTGTTTATAAAAGAACTTAAATATATTTATTCATTTTTGTCTTATAAAAAAAAAATATATATTTATACGTTGTAGAGAGCTATATATCACCTAAAAATCTAAACTTAAAAGATTATACATAAAAAAAAAAAAGTTGCGTAATCGTAAAAATATGTTTCAGCCTTTTCATGTACATAACGTCGTGTTCATCATGCAGTAATCACCAACAGCGTTAATCTTTTCACATCTTCAGCATAGTTGCCTTGATCCAGTCCAAGTATTTGGCGACGTCCGTGAAGACGACGTAATGCGAGGAATCGCACCTGAATTGATTCTGCAGAGCGACGCTGATGCTCACCAGACCTCTGAGTTGCCACATCTTCTTGCTGGGCGTCGAAGTCGATTTCGGGAAAATCATGCCGCCACCGGAATCACCGTTACAGACCGACGTTCCTGTAACATAATCTAAACATTACAGCATAGTTTTACGCAATCGTGCATTCGATATGTCTATCTGCATTGCATGACGGTAATTAAACGAATTTGTTCGCCCGCTTACCGTTTCTGAAGCCGGCGCAGTACGTTTTTTTGGTGGTGAAACGCGAGAAGAACTCGGGGAAGGAATAGATGCAAGTCTCCTTGGAAACGACAGGCATATTGGCCTGCGTCAATTCCTCCGTCACTTTGCCAGTTTCGTCGAAGCCCCAACCGACGACTGTGCCTGCAAATTTAAATATTATCAATGAAGTATTGAATTTTCTCTTGGATTCTTATTACCTGGCTTATTCATAACCGAATTTAAATCGGCGTCTTCCGACCATAAGCATATCGGTCTCACGTAATCAGTGAAGACTGCCGGATTGACGAGCTTCAGCAAGGCTATGTCGTTTGCGTATGTCCGAGAATTGTACTCGGGATGAGGGAAGATCATCGAGATCTGACTGTCTTGGATACCGGGATTCGACCATTTCTTTAGATAATATTTCCCTGAAAAAATAAACAGATTTATAATTTGAAGTTGCTGATAAAAGCTAGTGGATTTTACCTAAATAAACGATCAAACTATCCGGATCGAGAGTGCTTTGAGTTTTCCTCCTTGTCACGCAATGCGCGACCGTGATCAAATGATTCCTGGAAATCAGCGACGCTCCGCAGATGTACTGCAAATCCGCACCTCTTTCGTGGTAGAGAGCCGCGTGCCACGGAAACTCGCCTTCCTTCGTGGATTGTCCGAACGTGATCAGCGGTTTCGGTTGATGCTAAACAAAATCAACAACAATGACAGATCAACAACAAATCAACAAATGAATTCGAGATTTGCAATTTCTATGGTTACACACTACAGCAGCGGTCGGGGAACTTTTTTTTAACCATTTTAACCATTTCTGAATTCATGAAACAATCAATGTAAATTTTAAATAAACATTGTTTATTGCAATTAATTTGCATTTACATATTTATAAAAAAAAAAGTTACATGAAAATAGTAACAAATAGTGATAGACAAAGAAAATGAAATTCTTAAATTGGAACAAACAAAAATTAATTGAAAACTTTCCCCCTTCAGGTTTTTGGAAATATGATGTTGCTTCATGTTTGATATAATTACTTTAAAATTGGAACTTTTTGATGTAAGAGCAATTTGATTAAAGTCTTCGGCGTTTAATCGATTTCTGTTTTTCGTTTTTTATGTTCATTAGAGTGGAAAAGACTTGTTCACAAAAGGTAGGTTGTTGCAAATGGCAGCAATTTTTTTACCGCCTCCTCATGTGCAATTTTGAAAGCCTTTGACAACCAAAAAGACGACAGATTTGCTTTGGTCTCAAATTGAAGTTCAAGAATTGCCTCTGCAAAACCTTGAAGTTCTTCTGGTATGTTAGTAATTTCACATTTAAAAAGATCTACAACCCAATTCACAGTTTGTACATGAAGATCTGGAAAGTAGTCAGAAGGATCTACAGTTTGTACATCAAGATTCTGAGATGGTAAGTCAGAGAACCGTCTCTGAGTTTGGTAAGATGAAATTAGAAAAATATTCCCTATTACCCAAAAAAAAATCATTTTTACCCCATTTCCCTATTATCCAAAAAAAAATCATTTTTACCCCATTTGGAGGTAATTTACCCCGGTTCCCCGACCGCTGCACTACAGGCTATATAGCGATTTTTGTGTATGTTTTTGGTATTACCTCGATCGGTGCGACCTCGTCGTCGGCCGATCCACCATAATTTTCAATTCCGCGCAGCACGTCTCGCACGAAGTGGATGATATTTCGATTGGATTGCAATCGTTGCCCATGCTCGTTATAATAATGCACCTGTACGTTTGGATTGCCCGCGCGATGGTGATACCAATTACCCTGTCTTTTATACCGATCCGTCTAGAAAATAGTTGGCCTTTTTTTTTTTTGGTGGGTAATAGTTCGGTTTAGAACGAAGGAAGTCCAGTGCGAAAAGCGAGGAAAAATGCGCGAAGATCACGAAAGCAAAGTGTGTGTGTGCCGATTTTTTGCGAGAGGTGCCCGGATGTTGAAATAAAAATTCGTAAATAAAAATTGGTTACCACAACGGTTCCGCATTCAATGTCGTTGTAATTGTTGTTGTTGTTGTTTTGGAAAGGCCTGCTGTTTATTATGTGCAGATCTCCGGCAAAGACGTCATCGTCGTCTATGTTCGTCCTGTTCGGAAACCATCCTCCTCCTGGTCTGGCGCTTAAAAAAATCCAATATACGTTATACTAAAAAGATTTATAAATTATTTCCTAAATATTATTTTTTATAGAATAAAAATTCAGGTGATTTTTAATAAATATATCTTAAATAAGTGTTGTATTAAAGTAAATAACGTTATTTAAAATATACAATACAATATTATAACATATAATACAAAAATTATACAAATTATATTTCGAAACGCAGAAAATTAAAATATAACTTAATATTTATATATTTGATGTTTGAATTTCAATGAAATATTGGATTTATGTATAAATTTATTACAGATATAGTGAAAATGTATGATTTGTGAAGACAGCAAAAAGTAATAATTTTTATATAAAAAAAACTTGAATATCAATACAATTAATTAAAAAGGATAAGCAATGATATCGAATTACATTACATAAATATTGCGTTAAACAACTAAATATGTAAATTTCATTAAAATTAGTACGATTAGTTTTATCATCATCCTGTGAAAATTCACTAAAGTAAAGTGATATCTCAGAATGGGTCTATATCGAAATCCCGACAACCGAAAACCTATTGAATGCCCGACATTCGAAATCCCAAGTGTATTGAAATCCCGACGTTCAATATCCTGAGTGTATCGAAATCCCGACATTCGAAATCCCGAGTGTATTGAAATTCCGACGTTCTAAATCCCGAGTGTATCGAAATCCCGACATTCGAAATCCCGAGTGTATTGAAATTCCGACGTTCAAAATCCCGAGTGTATCGAAATCCCGACGTTCGAAATCCCGAGTGTATTGAAATCCCGACATTCGAAATCCCAAATATATCGAAATCCCGACAATGTCTTTTATTATTATAATTTCTACAATAACATTTTTAAATTATTGTTCTATATTTTAATAGGTACGACGGATACTGAAAAAAATATTTTTTGCCCGATTATTAATTTTTGTTATTTATTCTTAATAACAATAAGTAATATTAATTATTATTGTATTTTTTTTCGTTGTCTTATTCATTATAAAACTTAAGAATAAGAAATATTCTATAATAAAATTAGTTTATGTTATTAATAATGATTAACAACAATTAATAATATTATTAAGTTTTAGATTGTCGGGATTTCCATATAGACGGGATTTCGATATAGTCGGGATTTCGATATAGTCGGGATTTCAATATAGTCGGGATTATGATAGTCGGGATTTCGATACACTTGGGATTTCGATATAGTCGGGATTATGATAGTCGGGATTTCGATATAGACGGGATTTCGATATAGTCGGGATTTTGATTATCGGGATTATGGTAGTCGGGATTTCGATATAGTCGGGATTTCAATACTAAAATTAAATTATAGTTCCAAAAGTCAAATTTAACTCCAATACTTGAATTTCACTAAAATGTGAATGAATATTTTTTTAAAAAAACGCAAAACAAATTGTTCATAATATACATTTTTTTTTTAATGGAACTTTACAAATACAAGTAACTTGTCACGTACATATGATTACGAAATGGTGATTTGAAATTTCGTACACAGTTACTTGTCATTTACGCGATGAACGCCAAATATCAATTTTTAAAATTCGAAATAAATATTGGTATCAATACTTAAACTCACAATATTTCCTTCGGCGGTTGAACAACAGGCATCGGCGTTTGCTCTTGTGTTATAACGCCTTGGATACTGCTGCTCGTTATCAGCTGGCCACCGGTTATAGCGACGGGCGTCGTGGATTCACCCTCGGGACACACCGTCTTCGCGTTCAGTCTGATCGACATCAATTTCGGCATCGTCTCCGACGGATCGTACTTGATGTAGAACCTCAGCGAATACGGCATGTTCGATTTCAGCTGATGGTTCCGATTCTTAATTAAGTAATCTTTATTATCAGACGTCTTAATTTCTCCAAACCAGTTCTACGCAAAAGAACAAAAAAAAAATAAAAATAAGAATTACACTGTCACAATGACATAATAATAAATGTCACAATGACAATTTATTATTATGTCATATTGACAATTACCCCTAATTGCAGAGACGGCTTATCGAAAATCAGCCTGAGCCAGACACCGTTCAAATCGGATTCGCTGATCAAAGTCACAACTCCGTACCAACGGTCCCTTTCCTTCTGCGGTTCGTAGTGGAAAATGCTGGGACAAGGTGAAGGTGGATACCTCATCTGCGCCTCGGCCCAACATACCGAAAGCACCAAAATGATGAACATTTTCAAAGCCATATTCTAAAAGAAAAAGAAATACACTAAATACAAAATTACAGCAAAATATAAAACAAACAAAAAAAATGTTGTGCTCGTCACAAACAATAATTAATTGTGTGTTATTTGTGCAATTTGAATAATTAAATAGTGCATAAGTAAACATCTGAAGTAGTCATTCAGACAATTACGTAAATCATTTTATAGCAGTCTTATTTTTGATTGTGTACTAAAGTTAAGCATATTTTTTCTATTGGTATTTAGTTGTGTCATCTAATTACGAAATAGTATTCTATTTTTCGCATTTCAGTAAAGTTAAACAACTAATCTTCTGGTTGGTATTTTAATGGATGATACACTAATATTCATTGAAATAATGTTTTTGCAAACAATTACGTACATCATTTTAGAGTTAGATTTTCGAGTAAATTAATCAAATGTGAAAACACTGCTTTTTCGAACGTTCTTATTTCAATTCTTCAACTTTGAATGCGTATTATAGCAATACGGATAAGAGCACAAGAATGTATCTATACTTGCTGAATTCCCCAAACATTCAGCTTTTATATGCATATATTAGATTCATTCTATCTATTATAGTTTTCGAGTAAATTAATAAAATGTGAAAACACTGCATTTTCGAACGTTCTAATTTTAATGTTTCAACTTTGAACGCGTATTACAGCAATATGGATAAGAGCATAGGAATGTATCTATACTTGCTGAATTCCCCAAACATTCAGCTTTTATATGCATATATTAGATTCATTCTATCTGTTATAGTTTTCGAGTAAATTAATAAAATGTGAAAGCACTGCTTTTTCGAACGTTCTAATTTCAATGTTTCAACTTTGAATGCGTATTACATCAAAATGGATAATAGCACAAGAATGTATCTATACTTGCTGAATTTCCCAAACATTCAGCTTTTATATGCATATATTAGATTCATTCTATCTATTATA